CAAAATAGTCATTTCAAGGCCACGCAGGATCAGTGGTGCAGAAACGGCAATATTGACCTGGTTTGTGTCGTCTATCAAGATGGATGTAATGGCTACGTCGTATATTACACGAGGGGAGGATTATATAGTGCAGATATTTCAGCTGTGTCTTTGAGGCGATGACGCCGTTTAAATCTCTCATTAACTCTGCCAGAGATTTATCACCATTTGAATGAGCAACACTAAATGATCTTTGGGATTATGCTAATCTAAACAACCACCAACAAGAGAAGAGCAGCATCGGCGCTTGATGTGTGAGCGAGCCGTCGCTCCTCCTGTGCCCCGTCTCGTTCTCTTGGCTAAATTTCACTCTTATTTCTCTCCTTTCTACGGCTTTTTCAAACTTTCAGGTGAAACCCAGTGACTGCTGCTTAATTACGATTGATTATCCGTGTCTCTGAGCGGGTGTGTGCACCTGCAGCCTACGTGCATGTGTGCACGTGTGCACTTCTACAAGACACATGTGATTCAGCGTGACAACACTTTTGTTTTTTTTTCCCCTCGCTCTGGATATTGAGTGTATGTGTGTGTTGATCAATTTGCAAGTGTTTATCTGACTCACCTCCCAGAAGCTCACAGAATTAGTTGGCAGTTCATGGGAAACTCACAGCTGCGTTCTGTGCAGAGCAGACAGACATCTAGACACCTACATGTATACCGGTCTAGGTCCCTGTCACCCCCATCTTCCTTCAGAAGCCACAGTCGCACCCGCTCGGCTCTCTCTCTCCCTCCCACACCGCCATGCTGTGCCTCTCTTCTCTTGCCTCTGCCTTCATGTGTAAGAGCTCCTCATTCTCTTTGAGTTTGATATTGAACCTCCCGCCCCCCCCTTCTCCCCATCTGGCTCCCCTCCTCTCCTTTCCTTTTCCCTCCCCCTCTGACATCCCACTCTGTTGCTTTTTCCCCCCTTATGTTAACCGGATTGAGTGGCAGGTGTCTCTCCTCCAGAAGCCAGGTTGTAGTTGGGATGATGACCTGACAAGCATGTGGATGTGCTTCTTTTTATTCTTTTCTCTTGTGTGTGTGTGTGTGTGTGTGTGTGTGTGTGTGTGTGTGTGTGTGTGTGTGTGTGTGTGTGTGTGTGTACCCATTTTACCTGGTAGGGAGTGAGATGGCTCTCGTAATTGAACCCCCGGCTGTGCTTGATGAAGCTTTCAGCTGATATCTAGTCCGGGAGGCTAAAGTGAGAATTCAGGCGAACAACCGGAGGGGAACAGACGCGGAGGCAAAGAGAGCAAAGAGGGACAATGAGAGAGTTGTGATTAAAAAGGCGTCGCTTGCTGAAATGGACAATTACTGGGGTAAAGTGCAAGCCATGTATTCACGCCAAGCTAAAAGACAAAAGGACATCGTCGCCACTGCGATTACGAGCCAAGCGAGCTGGAATTTGCACAATAAATCGTGTGTGAGACTTTGTGGTTTAGTAGACAGTGCTCTATCACTTTTCCAAAAAGTAGATTCACACAATCTGGCAAAAAGAGTAAAGACCTCTCGCTATATACTGCTGTGTTATTCTGGCAGTTTTTATGGATTGGGTGACAGTTCCAACACAGCTAATTTTAACCTTAAAGAAAACTGAGTGCATACAATTTGAAAAATTTAACAATTTGATATATTAATGATATACGTATGACGATACGTATTGGCTTTTGTCTTTTAAATAAGTATTTACTCTGTTTATTTGTACTGGGCGTACTGGGCGCCTCGTAGCAGCAAACGAAGGCCCGTGGTTTATGAATGAATTAATAATGATAATATGTGTAGATGTAATGCTCAGGTGTCCACATACTTACCATACATATCAGATACCTAGCATTCTATCGTGTTTTAATTGTAAAGCAGGTGGAAATAAAGTTATTCATATTTATTATTTTCAAGTAATCAAATTGAATAATTGGCAGATAATTTAGCTGGAGCAAACATGCTGTGCTCCACTCTTTTTTGAGCACATCACCGTGTTGATTAAATCACAAAAATGATTTAAGGTAGAAGGTAGCAGGTACAATACCAGTCAAGTGTTTGGACCCATTTCGTCTTTCAATTGAAAGAAAGAGTGAGTAGCTATAAAATATTAAACCCTTTCACCAGGGAGTCACAGCAGGCAGCATTCCTTTTCCCATGTAACATCACTATATGGGAATATGAGTCATGATGAAATACTAGTGAAACACATTTTGATGTACCTTCACTCTCCATACTGGGAGGTCTGACGCTTGGCTTAATGCCAGCTTAATACATCCGCTATTTACTGAATTTCAATAATTAGCCGCATATTAACGTACTGCAGAGTGTGCTACTGCCGTGCAGCTCGACAGTTGCAAACCTACAGTAACAATTCCAAGGATTTGAAAACATGGATTTCAGCTCACGTTATGAATCATCTAAACGCTCATACTTTAACGCTTCAACTGCTAAGCTCTTTATTTAAGGTCCTCCATAGTATCAAAAGCAGACCAACACTGCAACGTCTTCTCAAATGATAAAACGACTGGATGCTGGCGGGAGATTTGCTACCCCGAGTGTCGGAGCCATATGGTATCACAGTCCACAGCTGTAATAAACTCAATATAATCTCTTAATCTATACATTTTAAAACACCCCACAAGCAGCAAGCAGAGTTGTTAAACGCATCTGCACACATTTCACTCAGATGTACACACCACATTGCACAATGAAAAAAAAAGGATTATTCGCAAGATATAATTGGAAAGAATAAAAGAGGCATTGCGGAAGATGAGGGAAGTCAGATATAACGCGATGATGATGAAAAAACAAAAAAAGACTTCAGGGGTAAACAGAAGGCAACAACGAAGCGAAAGCGATTGGAAATGCAAACTAACACCAGAAGCACTATCACAAGTACGTGTCGACTATGCTTATACTGTTGACAAGCTGAATGGAAAAGAATCAATAATGGGAGCAGTGGGAATACCGTGTTGGGGAGTTTGATCATGTAAACTGAGAATTGAGAATTGTCATCATTTATTGAAAGCCTTTTGTTGTCCCATGTAGAGCGCACTTTTCCCCTTGAGATATACGTACACGAAGAGCTAAATATCATGAACATGTCAATTTACACAAATGGAAACATAAATCAAAGATACATACAGACAGGTGGGTACAGACCAAGAGGCTCTGTAACAAAGTGGACATTTCTAAGCTTATATCACGTAGTAAATAGCAGCTTTGTACCTAATTAACAGATAAGCAGACGGGGCTGAGTGGCATGTGAAGATAAAGCTGTGGAGGGAGGAAGCACAGAAGCAGGAAGCAAAGGGCCACGCGGATGAACAAATAAAGTGCAGTTGAGTAGAGAAGAGAAGGAAAAATATAAAAAGATAAAATAACTTTGATTACCCTCAGGAGCTGAATACACGCTGTATTTTACAGCTACTATATAACCCATAACTCAGGAAAGTGAGTGGAAATGTTCTAGCGTAAATTACTGAAAGAAGGCTACCAAAAGTAAATGTGCTCATTGTGCAGAACCGCCATTACAGAATTATATGAAGTGTATTGTAATATTGGTACACAAATGTTTTCATCACTTTAATGTTCCTGCTCGTAAAGGTATGAGTTCCTTTTGACTTTCCTTCATAAATCGCTGGGTAGTTATTGCTTTCATAATAGATTATAATGGTTAATATTATGTAAGGTTTGATGATGACTTCCAGGATGCTGCTCCCATGTTCATGCTCTGGAACCATAAATGTGAATAGTTGTAGATTTGTTCCTGGAGTATCTCCCTTTGGCCGTCTTCGGTCATAAACCATTGAGAACAGCTGTTTTTTTCTCATGAAAAGATCAGCCTTGTCAAATACGACAAACAGTTCCCTCACAACATGTCCCAGATAAATGTCACGTGTGTCAAGTATTGAAAGGAGAACAAACGCATACAAACCCGTGTGGCCTTGTTTACTCGAGTGCACACTGCTATACAGATACTCAATACAACCCGGTCCACTACTGACATTTCAGAACATGTTGTCCTTCACAGAGCAGTAGCGTCCCAGACAAACTGACATCTGTCCATCACATCTGTCCATGAACACTCACGCCTGGACACATGTCAGCACACGATGTTCATATCGCATCGGAACTCTCTCCGTCACTTCGCTCCCCAGATCAGCATGTTTCCATCCTCATCCCCTTTAGCGTGTTCTTTCTTGTTTTTTTACCTCTGTGGCCACAAGAATACAGCAAAAACTGGAGACGAAGCAGGATTAATAAATAAGTAAATAAAAAAAGTAAGTTTGTTAGTGAGAAAACAAGAAGCAATATCAGACATGTTTCCCGCTTCATCCTCCATCTCCCCTCTCACCTTTCTCTCTTTCCCTTATTGCAGGAATGTATTACAGGTGTTCTAGTGTAAACAAGATAATCATTGATTTTTTCTGTTGCCTACACAGGGTAACTAAAATAGATAAATCCGCGCAGCGCTCGATGCGGTGCGTGCGGCATCGTCAAGATTGGTCCCAGGAGCACAAAGATGACAGTCACACTGCCTGTAAAAATTAAATAAGAATGATGATAAGAATTATAATAAATACACACACACACTGCTCCAATAATGTTTGGTCTGTTTTTGAGCGTGCAAGGTGGGGCCTCTTGGTATTAAGGATTTTCAAGGCTTTTGCCAAACGGGAAGAAACGCTCCCCCGTTGGTATTTGAGCTTGAGATTCAGATAACAGTAAAGGGAAAGCGAGGTTAAGGTTTAGGGTAAACTGTTTGGGAAAATAACAATAACAATACATGAATGTTTGTGTGTGTGTGTGTACATAAAGATTTGCGTCACATTGTGGTTTGTCTGCACTGAACCGTGCCCATTGTGGTCCTTGTAAACTGAGACTTTCATTTATATAACAGGAGCGCTGCTGTATGACTCCCAATGAATTCTGCTCCTCCCTTCTCACGCTCTCTTTCCTTTTCTTTTGTTTTACCTCTCCCTTCCCCCTCTCAGGTTATGGTGGGGTGGAGTTACTGCTGGTGCTGTGTGGCCTGGATCTCTCTTCGCCTTGCCCTCGCCACTGCATCTGCTACAACTCTCCCAGCACCGTCTCCTGCCAGGCCCACAACATCCACACCGTGCCTGAGGGCATCCCTGCCCAGAGCGAGCGCGTCTTCCTGCAGAACAACAAGATCCAGCGGCTGCTTCGCGGCCACTTCTCGCCCACCACCACCATGCTGTGGCTTTACTCCAACAACATCTCCTACATACAACCCTCCACCTTCCACGGATTTGATCGCCTGGAGGAGCTGGATCTCGGGGACAACCAGCACCTGCAGGCCGTTGCCTCGGACACCTTCCTGGGTCTCGGGAGGCTACACGCGCTGCACCTCTACCACTGTGGCCTGGTCACTCTGCCTGCAGGCATCTTTGCGGGCCTCAATAATCTCCAGTATCTCTACCTACAGGTACATGGATAACAGCCTGCTTTTATCTCCACTGCATATTACATCTGCCACCACAATCACATTATGGTGTAATCAGACTGGCTCAGCGTTTACCGCATATTGTGATTTATTTAAACTGAACAACAAACCCGACAGTCAGCGGATCATCATACTTTTTATAAACACTTTTGTTAGCTACATTACATTAAATGTCGTTTAGCTGAGACTTTTATCCACAGCGATTTACAATAAGTGCATTACAACCATAAGGATACAAAGCAGAATCAGAAGAGATCATTCAAAATCAGAATATGATACAGACTTTAATATTATATGTTATACTTACATAGTCAAGCTGTTATCTGATGTGCTTTGTCAAATCATTATGGGCAAAAAGGACAACCTATTATTGACATAGTATGTACGTATGCAAGAAATCTAAGCTAAAATCTGACCAGAATACTGCTGAAATAAATGTGGATAGGATCAGAATGTTTATCGAAAAACAAAATATCGTTATACTGCGAAGGCATCTCATACAATATCAAAGTGGCGTCCAGTGCACCCTGTTCTAAGCCTCTGTTTATTTGTCTTCCATCCTTCCCCTACATCCTGGCAGGACAACCAGTTGGAGTTCCTGGAGGACGACCTGTTCATCGACCTTCTGAACCTCAGTCATCTCTTCCTTCACGGGAACAAGCTGTGGAGCCTTCGGCAGAACACCTTCCGTGGTCTGGGAGTCTTAGACCGCCTACTTCTGCACCAGAACCGAATCCAGTGGGTGGACCGCCAAGCTTTCCATGACCTGCGACGCCTCACCACCCTGTACCTGTTTAATAACTCCCTCACTGAGCTATCTGGATCCAGCTTGACTCTACTGCCGGCCCTGGAGTACCTGCGACTGAACGGCAACCCGTGGGAGTGTGATTGCAAGGCGCTGTCACTTTGGGATTGGCTGCGCCGGTTCAGAGGCTCCACCTCATCTCTGATGTGCGTTTCACCCCCAGAAATGGCGGAGAAGGACCTGAAGACGCTGAAGAAAGAGGAGCTGCCCAGTTGCCTGGCGGCTGAGGGTCGTCCGCACGGCGACCCGGGTGGGGAGATGGACCACGGAGAGTCTTTGAACCACCTGAATCGTCACAGAAACCATCACACCCACCATCAGCGACCGTACTTGCCCCACGGGGATCAGTACAGCTTGCCTTCACCCTCGCCCCTACCGCGGCCCCCGAAGGGAGGCCGCAGAAACTGCACCCGTCGGGGCCGGAAAGTGAAAGGGGGGCTGAATGAGGTGCAGGTACTGCGGGAGGGGAGTGAGAAAGACTATACTGCAGATGGAGGTAAATACGATCCGTCTGGAACTGCGAGGAGGAAGAACAAGTGCATCCCCAGAACTTCTGTCGGCCCACCGAGTGGGGTCCAGAGAGCCACTAATAACGCCGGGTCACACTTTGCAGATTTCTGTTTACTAACAGCTCTGCTGCTGACACACTCAGCTCTGTCATCCTACGCCGGGGCAGGAATCGCACACTATTCTGCTGGGGATCCCACCTTGTGATTCATTCTCCCGACCCACAGTGTCCTGGCTCTTTGAATGAAGCATGTGTGCATAACTGTGCATAACTGTGTGTGTACATGACTGCTTGTAACGAATATTGTCAAATATCTATGTCAAAGTATCCCTCCTCTATTAAGGGAGGAACATCCATGGGTCATTTACAAAACATGGGAAAACAGGGAAAACTATTTAGCATATTGCTTTGATGATGTCACAGAGGAAAACATCAGGAAATCTTAACATTTTGTCATTGTGGCATCGATTGATTCACTTAATGCATCTTATTCTGGTAAAAAGCAAAAAATTACAGCTACATAAAAACAACAAGCCAACTCAACTCATTCAAGTGACAGCGAAAGACGCACAATAAGGATCGGAACAGTTCAGGGTTCTGCTTCTACGTTTAGTCCTCTGCACAATAATTCTCTCTCAGTCTGACTTCATCTCATTCATAACTGTCACACTGCTCACTCATCAGCACCTTAGGATCCAGAAGCAAGATGCTAAATATACAAGTGGCATCATCGTACTGCTACAGCAGTAACAAATACAATCACTGTATATCCAGTAATAAGAGATTTGACTTGCATGTCTCACTAGGAGGTGAACATACTTTAATGCACATCTTGACCTTAAAAGATGCCTGTTGCAGGATCCTTGCCACAAATCTACTTAAAAGCCATTCAGAACCAACCTTTCATTGTAAAGAGACAAATCGGTCACAGTCAGTGTGAATGAGTTGGGGAAAGATCGTCTCTGTAACTGTATTGTTTGAGTGTGCGTCCACTTGAAAAACGACAAAAAAACTGAAGCCATGCGGGTAGAACGACACAAGAAGAGGATGCCTAATGAGGAACAAGTGGCCATGAGGGACACACTGTGGAGCTAAGGCGGTGGCTTTATTCACTCTTCAAATTCCCTGTCTACAAAACGGAGGCATCTACGAGCCCGAAAGGTCAACACGAGCGGTCTAAGGAGCAACCAGAGCCCGACCCACTGGACGTCTGACTTCCAGAAACTGTTATGCGCTTTCCTTTGTAATGCCGAGGACGCTAAGAAGTACACATAATTCAATCCAAATAGGCACAGGACGTTTTCAAACGCTGGAAGAAAATCAGGCAGGAGTGCTGAGGATCACCACAACTCCACATACACATATATTGCAGTGGTCTGAAGACCGTGTTGATCACCACAGGGCAAAGGAACCGACAATCTCCTACTGCATTCCTGTCCTTGCCCTCCCCGGTTTGTTCGATGTACTCCGAAAGCCAAAAGGACTCGGCAATCTGTGAGCACTGCGGAGGGGACGGTTGGACATTAACGCTGCTACATCCGAGGAGAGCGCCGCTTTCCCGAGGCTTCTTTCGGGAACCCAACAAGGGCAGAGAGGACTATGGGACACGGTGTTTCCGTACAAACCGGAGCCGTTCGAGCACACACGACCCTGAGGCCCGATCACCTTCACGGCCTTCCTGTCACACTGGAAGCTACTAAGCACCGTTAGACCGGGGATTTCAAATCCCAGAGCAGAAGGTTACGACTTCGGACGTGAACTGTTTCAAAGTGATCCACTTAGTCTCAAGTGCACAACTACAATTGGGGAACCCTGTACAGACACACACGGGACATCCGGGTACCTTGACTGGCCAGTAATGCTAAAAGTCTTTATTTCTTTTAGCATTGCACAGTTATAAATTCTATTTTGAGAAAGGAGCTGCTCTTGTACGCAAAATACGACAGCTAACAAAAAAATTATGGCATGCAGACAAAAAGCACAAGGAAAGCACAAGGACTTCTCAGTAACGTGTGGTTTGGATGGGAAGCAGAGAGCAGGGGCCACATTTGCACTCTGCTTGTGTGCGTTTTCTGCTGAGCCCCGCCTCTTTATGTCTATCTATCTAAATGTTGGGGACGGACAGAAGCTCTGATCACTGGTGTCATTCTTCTGACATGTAGGATTAGAAACCCCCTTCTGGTGAACTTGTTTGTGCTGCCGTGAACACAGAGGTGATGTAAATTGTGTCTGTTTCTCCAATGAGGATGATATTTTTTTTTCTTTTTGTAAAGAAAAAAGGGGAAAAAAAGGAATAAAAAGGGGGAAAGTCTCCACTGTGTATCTATAGTTCCCTAAAAAATGGAACTATTTTTTTATCAATAAGATTATCATTATTTCATTTCTTTCTTTTTTTGCTGACTCATTCAAGCCCAACACCCAACACTGCCCCTCCTGATCCTCCTCTTATGCTTTTCTATCCCTCTGTCTTTCCCTCCCACCCTGCTTGCATTTCTCCCCCTTCTTCTCCACCTTCTCCTCTTCTTTCTCTTCCATCCTCGTTGCTCCCTTCTCTATCTCATTATTATTTCCCCCTCCTCTCTTCCGTTGTGCAACCCGAATGTTTTGTATGTGGTTATCAAACAATGCCAGACTCAAAAGCTGTTTATAAATAACATTAAACAGAAAGTGTCCTCAAATGGCTGAGGTGGTCTGTGTTTGTCCATGTGTGTGCTAATAGACAGACCTCCAAAACGAGCCCTGAGGCTGACCGATAACACGGTGAAAGGAAAGAAAAATTGTTTTACAGTAAAAAAAAAAAAAAGGTAATGCAATAAGTGTGCAAATTCATCTACTGCTGGGAGAAAAACACACCCACATTCAACCAGGATGTATTCTGGCCCCCTTCGTGCCCTAGTTACACGCACAGGCTCCGCAGCCTAATATAAAATATGCATCAGAATGACTGTACGCACCAGTACACACACACATACACACACATGCATACACACACAACTCCAAAACTGCCGCACCTGTCGAGCTGTATCAGCTGTAAAGGGGGCGGGCAGAGGTGGGGAGGGGAGTAAAGGGGTGGAGGGGGGGGTGGGTGTCTTCTGTCAGGTGAAGGTGAGGTAAAACGGAGCGCGTTGCTGCACGTGCTGCATCCACTCTGGTCGTCTGCACGCCGTTCACGTTCATGCGTGAGCGTCTGCACGCGCGGCACTGGGCGGGTTGGGTGTCGGCGTGCGTGTGTTACACCAGTGTGTGCGTGTCCACCAGTGTGTGCCGAGTATGCCCGCTGTCACAGCAGATCCGGCCCGACAGGAAGCCGGGGCTGCCTCGGAGAGACAGTGTCACTGCTCAGTTTGTAAAACAAAGCTGACAATTGGGGCGGGAGGGAGAGAGAGAGAGAGTGACCAAAGCATGGGGATTTAGAAAGGAGAGGAGAGGTGGAGATGTCTTCTGAAGAAAACCCATGAAGTATCAGTACCAGACACAGCTGGGGCCAAGGGAGAGGAAGTGGGCCACAGCACGGGCGGCTGAAGCATCAGCTCCAGGGCCCGTCCGCCAATCACCGCATGCGCCTCCCAAACAAAGCCCCGGCTGCAGCGTACACGCGTTCACTCGTGTAGAGGCGGAAGTTAAGGAAAACAAGTGAGGAAGGAGTTGGAATAGAGGGATGCGGCAGGGAAAGACAGAAATCATCCATAGAGACACATGTACACAGGCTTCATGATCAAACGGAAGAACAGCTCATCCACTGGTTCATTCCCCGAGCTGAGGATCTGAAATAGCCGCATGTGAATATTTATATATATATGCCTATGTTCCCTTCCAAAGGCAAAGAGGCCAAGCAAAATTGATTTCTCTGTGTGAATCCCCGAAGACCTGAGACTCGGCAAGAGAAAAGCAGAAGAGAGCGAGAGTGAAAAGAAAGAAATAAAAAGCACTGCTAGAAAGAACAGTGGGAGATTTGGGGAAACTGAGACATGAGAGACACCTTCAGGGAAATGCAAATGCATGATGTTTCCCGCCAAACTGACGCGTACCCCATTTGTCCCGTATCCACACTCTCTCTCTCTCTCTCTCTCTCCAAAGCTGAATACTACTGTATATGATTAGATTTTCTTTACCATCCAAGCGCACGGCGTCCATCACGCACCAGCTCACACGGCTTTCAGCACCTCCCTGTAAGCACCATTTAACACCAGCCCTCTCTTCAGCACCATAAGGCCACCAGGCGTCATTACGCTCATTACAGGCCGATATCGGATTGTAATTAGACGGAAGGTCAAAGTGTGGGTCTGTAATGGAGCGCTGCGAAAACCCTGAGAACCGTTTAAAGTCAAAACGTTCACTCGCACTTTTACTGCACATTTATTTGCAGCTTTTTAGCCTTCGTCCAAACTCGCCAAACCCAACGGGTTCCATTATTCCACATGTTATTTATTTTTTTTAAAGGGTAACAGAAGTTCACGTGCACATTAACAAAAACGGGGACAGCTGGACACAGTTGAAGACATTTTTAACCTTTGCGCGAAAGCGATTTGCAGCATGAAATCGTAGAAATGACATTTGAATACGTCTTCGTTGTCTGCTGTGCATACTGAATCAAACTTGGCCGTGTGTTCTTTGCCGTCTTGCTGCGGCTTCATGAAATGTTTCATCATCGTGGATTCATGCTCTTACCAACCGAACGTCTCTGTATCTGCACTGTAACATGCGTGGTGTCGAAAGCAATATTTGTGCTTCCAACTCCCATTTTTTTGAATGCACTGTTCCCTCATCCGAACGATCTCAAAAAGAGATCAAACTAATCCTTTGAAGCTCATCTGCAGAGAAGAGACAGCTGAACAACACAGACTTGACTGAAACGTAGTCGCCGGCCTAAATTATAATTTACTGCGGGAGAGGAAGCGCAACAAAGACGGAGGTGACTGAATGTATTGACTTTGCTTAAGCACTTTAGAGCTTAATGCAAACATCAGCATCCTATAATGCTCAAACTGACAGACTGGTATAATCTTCCTTCTAATTATGCAAACATTGATGAATAAAGCACTAAACGAAGGTATTCGACCATACACAATAATAAGGAAAAAACTTTGACCTGATAGTGGAATAAGCGGAAAAATCAGGGGGATCACCAAAGTCAGTGAGGCTCGTTTTGTGGAGAGTAGAGGAGCAAACTGGCCATCTGGCAGATCCACATCACCAGTCTTGGAGCCGAGGCACTAGTGGGGCTTAAATGTGTCAGTGGTGGTAAGCTGCGTTGGCAAATGTCTGCCCAAAAGCCATGAATGAAAAGACATTTAGGCTCCAATAGTTGAAGCAGCTGCACTTGAACATAGAGTTCTTTTGCAGTTGTGAGCTTGGCCTGTTTGGACCCACAGTGGCTGCCCACAGGGGACCGTGGAGGGCTGCCTGAATGAACAACGGCCCGAGCAACGCGTCCACTGCCTCTCCACAAACGGTGCTTTCAGTTCAAGTGAAAAAAACGCCTAACTGTCCTAGATTATACACACCGAGACCTCAAATCGGGTCGGACACCAGTCAAGGCTGGTGTCCAGTGACCTGTGCAGAGGACTCACTTCAAGATGTGTGAAAATGGTATTTATTCACAGCTCCTCCCTCTAAAAAGCTTTCCTCAGTGAAACATTTCTTGTATTTTTTTCCTTTCTTTTTTTGTAAAATTAGAAAAAAAGAAGAAGTGGGGAACATCACTACTCGCCCTCTAATGGGGTCCTATCTATTATTTCTCAGTGCTTTGCTTTGCGGTTTTCTAAAAGAGACAGCTTCTCCCTTACAGGCCTCCACCAGTCAACTAGATGCTGTCCCGAACTAATTCCTACACCATAAATCCATCTATACTATTAATAATTTGCACCTTTTAAGCAGTGATGCATTTTATATTTAGTTTTTAAGTTGCAAAAGCCCCCCCCCCCCCCCCGTCCTTTCCGTAGCCCAACATTTTGTTTCACTAACTACGTTCCCAAAATTGAGCTCACGTTTCACAAACCACTACCTTTGCTTGAGTGGGTTACTTACTGCTTACTTGAGGGAGCGCATGTTTTGGGGGTTTTATTTTGACGTTGCATGCTTGAGTTGATAGGATGAGAAAGCTCAATTGGCTCAGCTGCAAAACCCAGCCGCTGATTGAACCTGTCAATCTGATCAAATACATGGCTCAACTGGATGCTGTAAGTATGTGCGACACGGGAGATGGTTTTTACTTTGAGGCGAGCAAAAGATGCAATTACCTTTTGTTTTAAAAGCAATGGTAAGAGGAATTTCCCTTAGAAGAGAGGGTGTTGTGTACTTTTAATCTTGTGGGAAATTACATGAAACTGCAACGATGAATTTGCAATTTGTAATCAGACCTGAACTATTCAACTTAAACTATAGTGCATTTCTGAAACAGACATAAACACACATCAGTGTCATAACTACACAGTCCAATACACAGTTAGATACACATTGAACTGGTGACTTTCCACAAGCTCGCACGAAGATCAGCACAGCAGTGATGATAAACTTTCCCCAAAACCACATTAGAGATGCAGAGCTTTGATATTTTGCAAACGTGTGGTAATTCCACTGGAAGAGCAACTCCAGCCGGAGCGAGGAATATACTCATTAGTGCACCGATATGGATCAATCTAAAGCCAGTGATCCGCTTGATTTGCAGCAGCAGCCAGGCTAAAAAACTGCACCCTCACTGACAAACACACACACACACACACACACACACACACACACACACACGGCTTGGATCAGACGATTGCATCCATGCATGGGAACAAGTTAATGACATTCAAACATCCCAATTCACCGCAACAGGAAGCGTCACAGTGCATCGGCCAAACAACAATTCAATTTTAAAAAACAGAGTACGAGGAAGTGATGCAAGATTAAGACATGTGTACTGAGGTGAAACACATATCTTCATTTCAACTTTTTAATGGCAAATAATGACAAAGCTGTTATGGGATCATGTTTGCAAATGACAAATCAACGCTGTGACAACAACAACAACAACAAAATACCGAAGCACAAGAAAACACAAAATGAGCAAATCCCAAACTCCCACGCACCTCTGTGACGCCAATACGAGAAGGGGAAAATATTCCAGATAAATCTGTCAACACTGTTGACCTAAAGTGAATCACCTATTATTCAGAAAAATGGTTCATAACTCATGCTATGAATTTACAACATCTAAGCAGCATTTTAGTGTTCACGTTGGCCAACAGGGAGCTCATTTTAAATGTTTTGTATGCTGCTGTATAGTTCTATATTTCATATTTCATTAAGCTATACGATAGTGGAGTGCAATAATATTTATCTTAGTGGGGTACAAGCAGGCAATAGCTAATACATGTGGAGTGGAGTGCAGTGGAGCTTTTTCAGTAAATAATATATATATAAGTCATTTTTTAATTTATAGCTCTGTTACTTCCCCTTCCTTCCTGAAAAGGAGACTTGTGTTGTATTTCAAACAACTCTCATTGCAGCAGCTTTAGCACAGTAGAGAGGCCAATGCACCATATCGCAGAACAGAGTACAATGCACCAAGGCCAGGTCAAAGTAACAAAGCCTAAGTTATGAATAATTCTGAATCAGTAATCAGCACACTGTGCAATGTTCACTTTTAATCCTCTTAGTAAGGATCAATACTGCATCAAATCATTGTGAACTCTCTC